TCACTAGCCTATAATATTCATTCCAGTTGGACAAAACAGCAGTTTTATTTTTGTGGGTTGTTTTCAGTCATTAAGTTATTGTGCAAGAACAATGCTCTCCATGGGGCGATGAAGCAGTGGATAAGACACGTGCCTTTGGTGTGAGACGCCACCGTGTCCCTGGGCGAGACTTTTCAGAGGCGTGCGACCTCTGACACGTGTAGACATTGTAAGTCGCTTTGGATAAAAGCTAAATGACTAAATTTAATCTCTCATTTGTTTATGCAAAGTCATCATAAAGTAATCATAAAGTTCTCCCTGCAGAGAACGGGAACAGGTGAGCGCCCAGAGAACCTGATCTGGAGAGGGAAGGGGAGAGTCCCGGTCCGCCATGTAGCGCGAGCTTCGTAGCGGAGCGTTCAGACACAGTCAAACAAACTGCAGGTGTAAATGCAGCGCCGTGAGAGGAGAGGAGGAGGCTGCTGGAAGGCAACGATGTCGATTTAAGTTTGTGTTCTGCTTGATAAATGGCTCTTGGGAGAGTTTTTCTTACGCCCCCCCCCCCCAATTCTGATCATTTTGGAGCTGGTGGTTTTCCTTTAGCGGTCGCTAAAACTTTAGATCGGTGTGATGGTGGGTCACCAGGGACCTGGCAGGCAGAGCTGAGGGAGGCGTTAGCCCATGTATTAGACTCACATGTCGTCTCTGCAGTCCGGAGGTTTCTTCAGTCGCTCTCCTTTGATCAGGTACTCGTAGATCTCAGAGTTCTCCACGCCGGGGTACGGCGTCTGACCACGAGTCATGATCTCCCACATCGTCACGCCAAACGCCCACTGAGAGACACACACACACACACAGTAGAAATCAGAAGCTGTAACGAGCTGTGTGATTGGTGGAGGGACTGAACTCCGCTGATCGATTGGCCGGCTGCAGGTCACATGTGACCCTGGGTGTGTGTGTGTGTGTCAGTACCACGTCGCTCTGTGTGGTGTACACGTTGTCGGCGAGACTCTCCAGAGCGATCCACTTCACCGGCAGCTTGGAGACCGAGCCCTGTCTGTAGTAATCTCCGCTGTAGATCTTCTTGGAGAGGCCGAAGTCTGCGACACACACCGCCATGTCCTCACTCAGCCTGAAACACACGGCAAACATTTCAATAACACATTCTGCTGCTGGACACAGTGATAATATCTCATGATATCTATTGCTCGTTTGTTTCTCCCTTGCTGCTGTGACACGGTGAACTCTTGGGACAGAATAAAAGAGTTGGACTTAAATTAAATGCAAACTTCATTTCACAAATGTTGTTAATTATTTTTTTATTGACCAAAAACCTGCCGTTTTACTTATTTACCTTCATAAAACTATGACGGCTTGTTGGTAAAACAGTAACAATAAAAGGGGAAGTGATATTCTGAGATTAAAGTATTGCGTGTCCGTTTAATTTATTTTTACATTTCCTCCTTCAGCTTATGCAAAGCGTCGTACAGCTGCTAGATACGTCAGAGACGCACGCCTCTCGCTCAGGGACACGGTCTCTCACACCAAAGGCACGATGTTTTAACCTCCAGTGGTCGTAATCCGCCGTCACATGAAGCAGCGTCCCCGACACGGTCCCTTTTTATCCGTTCATGTTTTACTGTTTTGGTTCTTGGCCGAAGTG